GAGTTGGGTGTTCAGGCTCCCGTCGGATTTTGGGACCCCGCAGGATCTGCGGCACCTGTACCGATGTCTGGGGTGACCATGCCGCAGGCGAGTCAGGCATCGGTGGTGAGTCGATGGTCACCATGCTTTTAGAGCATAACACAGATTTCCCGTGTGGATTACTGCAGATTACCTTTTTGCTTCCTTTCCTTGCTTGTTTGGCTGCCAGTATGGCGTTGTGCCATATTTTTCATATGTCCTACGACAGTTCGACTGCCATGGCATTTTGCCTTTCCATATTCGTTGCTCTTTGCTGCATCTCCATATTGATTTGCTATTCCAGGAGATTGTGCTTTGATTCCATCCTTCCATTTCGAAGCCTCAGGTTCTTTCCGATGAAGAGAAGATGCCGGATTTTCATTTGCAGATTCATTGGCAAACGCCGATATAGGTCGAAAAAGACCCAACGTGCAAGACCCAGTCGTTTTCGGAAACGCAGCTTGTGGTTTTTGATGATGCTTCTTGTGGTGAATTTTTATCATGTGCCTCGGTTCAACTCTTTTGAGATGACCCAGATGTACTGCAAACGTCCAATCAGTTTGTCCTATGCATATCTTCCTTCGATACATCGTTCTCCACTAGAATGGAGTTGGACAAGAAAACAGCGAAACAAGAAGATCCATTCCTTAAATGGCAATGGAGGCAAAGGTTCCAGCAAAGGCTCAGGGGCGAAAGGTGTTGCCCCAGTGCCAGCTGAAGATCCAGAAATCATATTTCAACGAAATATCATGGAGGCTATGCCTCAAGCTGCTAGACAGAGACTCCAGCCGCAGCTCATTGCTGAAGAATGGTCAGCCCCGATCACCCGAAGTTCTGAACTGAATCACAAAGGTGGCATAGCACTTTGCTACAAACAAGAACTCCCTGATGCACTAAGGCGAGTTGGGTACACGCTTGAGCCAACAGCAGTGCTTCTTTCGCAGGAGCCATCCTCATTGGGTCTTCGTGCCTACCCTTCAGAGCTTGTCACATGTGGCCTCAAGGTGACCAAAGACGATGGATCCACACAGATTGTGCAAGTCGAAAGACACTTGTGTCAGCTTGGTTTCGGGGAGCATGTTTGTAAAGTGGCTTCTGGTACTCTGGTGCTCCTCCCCACTTGCATGCATCGTTGTGTTGCAAAGTACCCTTCCTTTTATGGATGGACCAGTGAAATGATCAATGGTTCTACCATTGCTCAGCTTTTGAGCAAACACCTACCACAGGGTAGCTTCAGTGAGGTCGTGCCGAGACTACACGACCGGACTCTTTCGGCCACTTTCCGTGTGCACTCGGATCTTCTTGACACGATCCTTAAAGTCAGTGGCCTGGATCATGTCTTCTACAAGCCTCATGATTCGGAATCGGTGAGACCAAATATGGAGTTGCTATGGCTTCCTCAAGACGCAAATCTCGATATTGCACTTGCACATACTAAGAACAGTCCAGATATATTTGGGGTGGCAATGAAAAATGCTTCAGCTCAGCCACGATTTGCCCTTCGTTTTCTCGATATCACCAAACTGCAACAATATGCCAAGGAAAACTCCTTGGATGATGTCTCTCACTTGGGCCGTTGGAAACTGCAAGGTGTGCCGGTTCACTCTGGCCCGATTGGTGCGCTCACTGTTTTGCAAGATAGAAAATGGGACGTGCGTGAGATCATTTACTTCAATGCTCGTCATTGCATATTCGTGGCAGCTGCAAGAGGTGACGCCTCACCAATTTACTTCGAAAACGGAAAGCATCGTCAACAACTCAGGTTTGAAGCCGTCAATGCAGTTGCTCGTCAACAACAAGCAGAAGCAGCGCAAGCTGCTCGTCCCTCGAAGCCGGACAAAGTCGCCACAAAAACAGATTCTGCAAATGCCTTTTGGAAAAAGACTGCAAAGGAAGCTGTTGCGATGAATCAGCCAGGAGGTGGATCCAAGAGGCCGGCTGACTCCAAGACCGGTCTCACTCCTGAGAAAAACAAGCAAAAAGCTGAAAACTCTTAACCAGAAGTTCATGGTTTCACCCAAGAGCTTCGCCCTCGCAGTGCCAAAAGTTGCTGAAGCTGTTCTCGCACTTAAGAAAGATGAGATATTTAACTCTGCCGTTTGTTGGTGTCAGTTGCTGGTTTCTCTCTCGCATTTTGCGAAATCGTTTAATGCATTCTTTACATGGCAATACCCCTGCAAAAGCCGTGCATCGTCCCGACAGTTTTCGCATTGGTACTCTAAATATAGGAGGTCTCGCTGAACCATCTAAATGGTTGGCAGCTAAGAGCTTTGAAGTTGACTTGTTAGTCCTTGGCGAAACTCACCTCCAGTCGCACATCCAGCATTCTTTGCATTTGCAATTCCCTGAACACCACATGGTTCATAGTGTTGGTAAAGCTGATAAACATTTCACAGGAATCAGTCTTCTCATCAAGAAATCCTTAAGTTGGGCTTTTAATCCTATCTCTTGGCCGTGTTCACATCCGTGTTCTAAGTTTCATCTTGATAATCGCTTGATTGGCCTGCAGCTCTGGTGTGGCACTGGCAACACTTGCATCTTCATCTATGC